TGGGCACGTGAAAACAAGCATTTCACTTGAGAGATCCTCTGAATTCAGGTCCCCAGGAGAGGACAATATCTAACACAAAACAAGCGTTTCGCTCGAGATATCCTCAACAAATTCTGAAAAACAAGCGTTTCGCTAGGGACATCCTCAATTTTTAATTCGCCGGCCCTCTTCCCACTCGTTATCGCAAAAGAAATCCGCCGGCCCTCTTCCCGTCAAAACCGGAGGGAAACCTCTAAAAGAGAACCCTGGGCCTGAAGCCCTTTCCGGGAACATGATCGACCCACGAGCCCCGAAAGGAATATAGAACTGTAACACATGGCAGCGTTTTCAAAGACACCTGATTGGGTGACGGGCAAATGCAATGCTGAGTGTATCGATCTTGATGTACCCTGCCGAGGGCTGTGCTGTGCTGCGCCGTGCTGAATTGCGATGTGCCATGGCGCGATTGTGCTCTATAGCGTCGTGGATCGAGTCTTCGTTGCCACCGAGTCCTGACCGAACTGATCTGGATCTTAAGCTCGAGCTGCCTGAACACATAGTAGCTGCCCCAGAGCTGAAGGACAGGGAGCATGCCAGGAGGACGCGCCGCGAAACGTCCCAAGGGATGCGCAAGGCGACGTGCCAAGGACGCGCCATGGGGTCGCACCGTAGGACGTGCCAAAGGGACGCGCTACGGAAAGTGCCAATGGATGTGCCACGGAATGTGCCAGTGGGACGCGCACGCGACGGTGCCAGGGGGACTCGCCAAGGGACGACGCGAAGCCCCACGGAACGTGCCAAGGAAGTGCCAAGTTGCAATGCTGAGTGTATCGATCTTGATGTACCCTGCCGAGGGCTGTGCTGTGCTGCACCGTGCTGAATTGCGATGTGCCATGCCGCGGTTGTGCCTATAGCGTCGTGGATCGAGTCCTCCTTTGCATCCGAGTCCTGACCGAACTGATCTGGATCTTAAGCTCGAGCTGCCTGAACACATAGTAGCTGCCCAGAGCTAATTGACAAGGGGAACATGCCAGGAGGACGCGCCGCGAAACGTCCCAAGGGATGCGCCAGGCGACGTGCCAGGGGACGTGCCATGGGGTCGCACCGCGGGACGTGCCAAGGAGACGCGCTACTGAACGTGCTGGGGACAAGCGTTTCGCTCGAGACATCCTATCAAAATCATCCGAATTCCTACGCGCGGGACGCGGCACGCGCGAGACATCCTCGGAATTCCTGCGAGCGGGACACGAAAACAAGCATTTCGCCTGAGACATCCTTCTGAATTCTGGCCCCCCACGAGGCCCCGCTCGAGAAATCCCCCAAGTTCGCCGAGCAGGTCAGCGTTCGCCTCGAGACGACCCTCAACTAATTATTGAAAAACACGCGTTTCGCTCGAGAAATCCTGTCAAAACCCCAAGAAAACAAAATTCATGCGCGCGGGACGCGGCACGCGCGAGACATCCTCGGAATTCCTGCGCGAGGAGCGCTTTTCCGCGTCGCGGTCGGCTCTGCAAAACCAGCGTTTCGCTCGAGACATCCTCAACAAATTCTGAAACCAAGCGTTTCGCTCGAGACATCCCCAACTCTGTAAAACCAGCGTTTCGCTCGAGACATCCTCAACAAAGTCTGAATTACACTACACCCGCGCTCCCAGGGCCACGATCCCTCGTAAATTACGCTACGTCAGCGCTCCCAGGGCCACGATCCCTCGTAAGGGCTCCTGGGCCCTCCTGGGTCTTCCTTGGACCTCTTGGGCCCTCCTGCGCTCTCCTGGAGCCTCCTGGAGCTTCTCCTGGGCCCTCCCTGGGCCCCCTGGTGCCTCTTGGAGCCTCCTAGGTCCTCCTGGGCCCTCCTGGGCTCTCCTGGGCCCTCCTGGGCTCTCCTGGGCTCTCCTGGAACCTCCTGGGCCCTCCTGGGCGAAGTCAAAGTCCGAAAACACATGGGACTTGCCACATTTCTAAAATTCGGTGCCACCCCTCGCGCAGATCCGCGGGGTCAGGGTCCAAAAACACAAGGGATTTGCCACATTTCTGAAATTCGGTGCCACCCCTCACGCAGATCCGCGGGGTCAGGGTCCAAAAACGCATGGGAGTTGCCACATTTCTGCAATTCGGTGCCACCCCTCACGCAGATCCGCGGGGTCAGGGTCCAAAAACACAAGGGATTTCTGCTATTTCCGAACTTATGCAACTTCAAGAATCCAAAACTCCGTTCCCAGCGCCGTTCTGGAGGCCGCGGTACCTCGTTATTTATCGAGCGAACGCGTTTACCTCGTTTTTTATCGTTTAAAGTCGATGTCGGAAAAAAGCGGACTTCACCTGTGAAATATCGAGGTTTCCTTAAAGGCAGTAAAATTCCAAGAGCACGATCTGCGTGAGGGGTGGCGAAAAATGGCCTTCGTCCTCACAATTTTAATTCGCCGGCCCCCTTCGACCTCGTAATTTATCGCACAAGAAATTCGCCGGCCCCCTTCAAGTAAAAACCGGGGGTAAACCTACTAACATGATCGACCCACGAACCCGGAAAGGAATATAGAAGTGTAAGGCATGGCAACGTTTCAAAGACACCTGACTGGGCGACGGGCAAATGCAATGCTGAATGTATCGATCTTGATGTACCGTGCCGACGGCTGTGCCGTGCTACGCCGTGCTGAACTGCGATGTGCCATGCAGCGATTGTGCTCTCTATATATATATATAGCGTTGTGGATCGAGTCCTCGTTGCCACCGAGTCCTGACCGAACTGATCTGGATCTTAAGCTCGAGTTGCCTGAGCAGATGGTAG